TCCTGCGCCTCAAGGTGATTTGTTCTGATGTATGCAAAGCCCCCCACCCTCTCCAAAAAGTGTACTTAAGCTCTGCTTGACCTCTGCTCTGGGCTCTGGGCTGCTCTCCCTTCCTGAGTGGGCCTTGAGCCCCAGCATGCTGGTTCAATAAAACTTCCCCCTGCAATTGCATGAAGCTGGTCTCTTGTGTGGTCTCTCCCTCCGACGCTCCACCGGACCCTTACAAGACAAGCTGGAAGTGTAGGGAAATTAATATCCCACATTCTACAAGCAACCAGCAGCTCCCAGTGATCAGATCCCCCACTCTTCAGATGTAATGACTCTAAGGCCTGTTTTATACTGTCTCCCAGAATTACTCAGAGGGATTAGCTCCTGTTGTTACCGCTGTTGGCCGGTGACGAGTCCTTGCTTCCCCGATGTTGAAGAATAACACCAGAGAAGCACACGCCAAGGCAAGGTCAGAGTAGAAATTAGAAGTTTATTAAAGGACAGCAGAAAAGACTTCTCCCAGAGGAAGAAGGGGACCCAAGAGGTGGAATCCGTTGAAGGGGGAACAAGTTCCCCTTTTTATAGTTTTGGTGATGGAATGTACCGAGGAAGGGTTGGGACACAGGTGGGCCAAACAAGTAATCTGGGCAGGAAGGACTTCATTAACACTTCTTTGGGATGGGCTATCTCCAAATCTGTTGGGGGCTGTTTCCTGGGCTCCATTGACCGTTCCTTTGGGATGGACTTTGGGCCTACCTAGGGCTTTTTCGGGACTTCATTAACATTCCATGAGTTGTCCTGCGTTTCCTGGAATTCATTGTCAGCATGGCCTCCATTTTAGATTTCACTCCGTATTAGACCCGATTTACCTAACTACACTGACTACCTAATTTTAAATCTGGCTTCACTGTTGCCCACAGAGGTAACTTGCTCAGTAACAGGCCTTTTATCATCTGCCTTCCTTCCCACTCACTTCCCCACTCCCCTACAGGATCTTCCTGAGATCTCCTCCCAGACAAAGGAGCCCTACTGGATCTTCCTCTGAAGAACCCAAACCAAGATAGGCTACTCTGTGGTTAAAAGTAGGGGTGGGGGTGGGGGAATGAACTGTCTCCATTTTCCCAAGGGTTGTTATAGATTTACAAGACCATGTTCTCAAAGCCTGAGGAAAGGAAAGTTCTGAAAGGGTAAAGTTTCTAAGCTACAAAGCCTGAATTAAAATGTAAAAGACTGGGCATGCAGAGTTCCTCTGCTACACCCAGAACCTGAAATTCCTGAGACAGTTTAGTTAAGAGCCCACTGGCCATTTAGCCTAGGGCCCTGTGCAGTTTGTCACAGGGCCAGAACCAATCAGTTTGAATGTGTACCCCCCCCCTCCGCTTAGGAGTGACCAATCACCCCCGCCCGACCTGTTCCCGCCAATGAATGTGCTAATCATGTCTCAGAGTTGTTGTTCAATTTTCCTGTGCCTCATGATGCTTTGTTCTGATGTATGCAAAGCCCCCGCCCTCCCCAAAAAGTGTACTTAAGCTCTGCTTGACCTCTGCTCTGGGTTCTGGGCCGCTCTCCCTTCCTGAGTGAGCCTTGGGCCTCAGCGCGCTGAATTAGGATCCTCTTCAATAAACTCCCTCCTGCTCATTGCATGAAGCTGATCTCTTGTGGTCTCTTCCTCCGACGTTTCGCCGGACCCTTACAGTTCCTGACGAGGAGCAGACTTTATTCAAAAGCCATAAAATGTGCTACTTCCCAGACAGAGTGTACCGTGCCGCCATTTTATAAAATGAGGATATCTCAGTGTTATACAAAACCATAGCCAAGATGTCTTGTATAGGAAGAAAGCAAGTGGCAGGAGAATATGTACTTAGGATGCTGCCATTTGTGAATTTTAAGAGTTTATGTAAATTTTAAAAGAGTTTCATTGTCTAAACCACCTTCATCATCGCACCCTGTATTGCTTTCTGAAAAGGAAAATGGGACAAGCAAAACAGTTTGAAATTAAACAAACAGAAATGCTCACAGGAGGGTAAAAAAATTCTATGTACATCATATTTAGCTGAGAAGCTGTTGGTCCGAGGACTCTAAAATCTACATTTCTAATTAGTCCCTGGGTAACGCTGCTGCTCATGGACTGAGCTTTAAAAGACCTACCATAAAACGCTAGTTCTTCATTAGGCTGCAATACAAGCTGTGCAAGGCTCTGGAGGAATCCGTGGACTAGAGGCAGGCAGGCCTGTCCCTGGAAGGGCAGCATCTTTGCTCACTATGACATACTACATTTAGTGGTAAAGATACAAACCATTTCTTTTTCCAGACTCACTTCTCAGGTCCATGGCTACTACTTGCCTAAGTGTGGCATAGCTTATCAATGGGGTATTTTATTTTGCTCTCTTTTCCCTTTGTAGAGAAAGCTCCCTTGACCCACAGAGTAAGCAACATTAGAAGCCACTTTATTTTAAAAGACAGGAATGAAAGTCACAAGAAGCATGAAACCTTAACTTGAGCCCCCCAAACCTTGGTAGTAATCTATACAAGACACAAGTAGACACAAATCAGGAAAGCAATAGCAAATGATCTCAAAATTGATTTAAAATTTAGTGGACATCTGATCCAAGAGGGAAAGAATCATCAGGCACCCAAACTAACTTGAGGTAATGGGTGGGTTTTCCATGAATCTTGGGATTCACAAAAATGCAGTGACCACTGGGAAATAAAGAGACACCATTAAATCATGGTCATGATTCAAGAGATACTATTTGGTCCTAAAGATTGATTTCCTGGGACTGAGCAGGTTTGGTACTGCTGTGGAAGGAAAGCAGAGGAAGTGACCGCAAACCAATCTGCAGTTTTAATTTGCCCAGGTCTTGGTTGCCTGGGACATGATTCTCAGGTGCTGTCCAGAATTTCACAACCTTTGACGCCCAGCTATGGGACATCCACTAGGCAAAAGTACCAGGAGCTCCACCCAACCCAGTCTTCCTATATCTGTCCCCATAGAAGAGCAGAGAAGATAGGATCCCAAGTAAGATGGATGCAGGGAGTCAATGATTGAGCTTGGAGCTGGAGCAGGGACCCCTTTGGACCCCAGGCCCACAGCATAAAGCAGAGCAAAAGCCAACTTTGACCCAACCTGATAATGAGCCAACCTCATTATAAGATTAGCTGCCGGGATGAACAATACTCTTAATAATGCACAAATCGCTATGACAACCACCCACTTCGGTACCTAAAGATAACTTCATTGTGAAGCCATGTATCCTGATTTGAGAAGAAATGCTATCTGCCGTGAGTTCCACTATTCTGCTTCTCTCTAATGCCTATGGTTTTGTGCAATGTTTATGCCTGTACGCGTGTGCAAGCAGGCCTGTGAGCACGTATGGGCACGCACTGGTGTTAGTGTGGGGCCAGGGGTAGGCAATGAGCCCATCTCCTATAGCAATCCTGGCTAAAGGGATATTGTCCAGTTCTCAAGGTTGGTAAAATTTCTGTTGGGCCCAGGCACCCAAGCGTGTTGACATAATTATTCAGGAAGACAGGCTTGGCCAGGATTAATACTGTGATTAATTATGGTGGGAGCTTCAACAAGCGGATGCATGCTCGGGAGAGTCGAGGAGGGAACGTGACAGCCTCTGGCTCGCCAGCTCGCAGGCAGGACGGGCCGAGGAGGGTGTTGAGTGGGGAGCCGCATGGGCCTGACTGTAATGAGAAATGAGAAAAGTGCTGAAAAATTGATGGCGCCTGCAGATTGCACAGGCTGGCACACAGCAGGGGGCCCCCAGCAGCCGGCGCGCCGGGCTCAGTATGCTAATGTGGGCGCCTGGGCCCAGGGAAAGGGAGGAAGAAAAGCCTGCACAAAGGAGAGAAATGCAAATGACAGGCACAGAGATCAGTGCTGAGAATCCCGGATTAACTGTGTGGAGCTGGTGCTTGCCTGAGTTTAACCCTTTCTGGGCTGTGCTAGGGCTGCAGTGGGGGGTCTGGTCTGCATCAGATCCAGCTGGGAAACAGGGTTGCAAGAAAAATGGAGCTGGGAGGAGCCCAGAGGCTGAAGGGAAGAGGCTGGTTCCTGGAAGGGCGTGACTTCTTTGGAAACAGAGGGGGAGCTGGATCAAGAGGTGAAGACTGGGGGTGAGAAATGTAGTAGCCCAGCTGGTAATGCTGGCCCTGCAAGCTGCCAGAGTTTCTAAGTTGGGCCAGTGGAAAGGGAGTTCAAGAGACGGAATCCTGCAGGGTCCTGGGATATCCTGCCCTGGATATGGGTAGTCGCTGCACGACGGTTATAGTATCATTTACAAGATGTTGCAGAAATAAGATACGTGCATATCACTGTACCCAAGTTATACTAAAATCAAAAGTGAAAAGGGGAAGGAAAAGAAATGAGGTCCCAGCAGAGGAACAGAGAGCCAGCTAAGAGCTTCTCAGACTTACTGACCTTCTTGGGGAACAAAACCATGGAGAGAGACTTTCCTAAATAGTAGGAATTCCAAAGCACAAATCAGGGGCCAGTTTGTGTTCCTCACCCCCAGAACATAACCACGGTGTGTACTTGTGGAAAAGAAAATATTTGCTAACACATAAGATGTACCTGTTCCCATCCTTCCTTCCAGGGCAAGTGTGTAGGAGTGAGAAAGAGAGTCCCTGCCAAGGCATGAGGAGGGAGGAGTCGTCCAAACCCAGGGCAACAGTATGCTGTGTAAATGGGAGCAGATCAGGAAAGACGCTGGTGACACAATATTGCACAGAAAATGGGAAGGCACGTAGATACGGGGAAGGCAGAATCAAAGTGATTTTGTTTCTGTAATAAAATGTTTTTTCATATACCTATATATTTATTTTTTTAAGTTTAAACAACTATTAACAGTAGTTCCCTCCATGTGATGAGAAGACTGGAACTTTCTCTGTAGTGTTTGAATTTTTGACAACATTCAAGTATTGGGAAATCATGTACCACGGAACCACATCCCCAGCCTTTTTTTTTTTTTTTTTTTTTTTTTTTTTAGAGACAAGGTCTCACAGAGTTGCTTAGGAACTTGCCAAATTGCTGAGGCTGGCCTGCCAGAGTCTCCCAAGTCACTGGGATTACGGGTGTGTGCCACTATGCTAGGTTGAAACCATGCATTTGGAAGAGGGGGAAAATGACAAAGTAAAGGAGAGTCAGAGGAAGACTGAATTTCTGAAGCAGAAGCCCATGAAGGCAAGGAGACTCATTCTTCTGAACTCTGCGCATTCTTGTCCAGAGAGGCTATAGGTCCTGGGGTCACTGCAAACTCTTACCCAGCTCTGCCTTTTCAGGGCCCTCCTTCACCAATAAGGAAGGGGAATTTTAGATTTCTCTAAAGTTCTTTGTCCTTTTGAAGGCACTACTAAAATCCCTGCTGTGAACACAGGGTTCCCATCCGCCTTGCCTCACCTCCTTGTTCCACCTGTTCCCATATCAATCCATTCTGCAGATGGAGGCACAGAACACTTAAGTCTAGAGGCCAGGGGCAGAGTGGGCATGGAGGTGATGCTGACTGCCTGCCTATCCTGTGCCCACACTGCAGGACAGTCTGAAGAGGATCTCTGCCCGCTTCCACCTCACCCTTTCCTGATAAGGAAGCTATGAGCATTACCGCCTGCCTAAGAGAAACTCCTGACTGATGTGTGGAAATGTCTCTCACCCTGGGATGTGGTCACACGCCCTGTGTCCCATATCCACAGCTGCTGTGCCTCGCACAAGGTCCACAGCAGAAGCACAGGTTGTGTTTGTTGTTGTTGTTGTATTTTTCTTTTTATGGGTTGCATTTTTCCCCCTGGGACAAATAAAACAAGGCAGATTGTCTATGCCAGAATTCCTTTGAACCGGAAATTAGACTCTTTGCTCCAAGAGACAAGGGGATTACAAAACACTTTAAATGTCCTCCTTTTTCTCCTTTTTACTGCAAAGCTCCAATGAACTCCAAACCCAGGAGTATTCACCGTAACACAACAGATTAACCAAATAGAGCTGGGAAGTCATTTGGGATCTTTTTCCTTTACACAGCCTCATGTGAGCACAGGGCTCGGGGGAGCGCGGGGAGGAGGCTGCCTTAGCCGAGGCGGGCGCAGCTTCACTAGGCGCAGCAATTACTCTGAAAACATCTGGAGCATGAAATTTTAAAACACCAGAATTGCAATGGCTCGAGTTTGTACCTGGGATATTTCTTGTGCAATACCACACCACCAGCGAGGCCTGAAAGAAAGAGTTCCTGGTATGTAGATCTGTCCTCCTCCTGGACCTGTGCAGAAGCAAAGGCAGAGATTTGAAGCCGTCTCCAGCAGGACACTCCAATCCTCCCTGTCCTCCTGATTCCCAAGCAGGAGGAAATCCAGAAGTCACCAAGGACAGCTTATGTGTTAGCCCCACAGAAGGGCTGCCCAGCTTTCTGCTATTCTGTGTCCACACTGCAGGACAGTCTGAACAGGATCTCTGCCCACTTCCACCTCTGATTCACAGGTATGTTTAACTGACATGATATATATATATATATACCTGATCTGTAACACGTGTACCAATTCCTTACTCTGAAGTTCATAAAAGAAAATGATAAGGCAATGCCCCACCTTTTAGGAATAATAGTTTACATCTTGTTGATGATCATAAAATCATCAGGAGAATGCTGGCTAATAAATGTGGAAGGGATAAAAGAATTAGAAAATCACAAGTTTGCAGCTTCAGAAGAAATAAATGATACAGACAAGGATCAATCTGAAAGTAAAAGCTAATAGTTCTCAGAGTGGAATAAAGTCAATTTTAGTTATATAGAAGTAAGAAGAATTACATTCCACCTGTCCTTTCTTAGGATGTCAATAGGATAGGATCCCCAACCAAATAAGGGGCAGACATGGCCTCTGGGGGACAGCAGAACCAGCCAGCCAAGTGTATGGAGGGGGTTGAGATTGGAAGATACTGGAGGATGGAGGATGGAAGGTCAGAAGCTGGGGAGGAACTGTTTGTGGGGATTTGAGAGATTTTACATTTTCCATGACTTAAGGAGACAATGAAAGCAATCAATGGAAAGACAAAAAAGGTCCTTTTTTTTCTTTTTAATTCCCAAAAAGTAAAGGGGGGGGCAAACACCTGTACAAAGGGTACCACTATTGGGGGGTGTGGGGGTACACTGGGTCTGGGGTCACATCAACAGAATCACTGTTTACCAGTTTTTAACTTTTAAAACCAATCAAGACACAAACAATAAGACCTTAAGGGACACCATGTAAACATCTTTCACCTTGACAATGGAGACATCCCAGAACAGATAACAGGAGTGGCAAGAGGGTGAACATCCTCATTTAACACAATGAGGGGTCACCGGTCACTGATATTGACCTAAGGAGAAATAAAGTATAAGCAAATCGCTGAAAGTAACAAATGTAACCCAGAAGGGGGAAAAATGAAGAGTGCTATTCCATAAGGCTGTCGGGGAGGAATGAAGAAGTGGTAGGAAAGACCCCAATCTTCATCTGTCAGAGCAGGTCAATAATTAACACTCAAAAGTGACCAATCTACAAATTGCAGCAAAGCATACTTTAAAACATGGAGGTAATATTCCGAAGAAATAGCTAGAAGCATTAGTGAGGATTGTCTCTAAAGAGCAGGACTCAGGATGGGAAATATAAAGCAAGAACGAGTTGTTTCTCTTTGTGTTTCATCTGTATGGTTTGATTTTTTTTTTTTAACCAAGAACATGTATTACCACACTTTTAAAACCCACAATAAAAATATAGTTTAAAGAAATGCACCAAACAATTAATCTGGGGATTATTGTCATCCCATGGATACATGTTCTCAATTTTACAGAACATATTGACAGAGAGAACAGAATGGCAACTCAACAATAAATAAGGGAATTATTGATACCCCTAAGTATTGGGTCTTCTCACTCTTAAGTCAGTATGTCTTAAATTATTCATATTTTCTTTTATGTCTCTCAGTAAAGTTTTTGTTGTCTGCTTATGTATTGTTTCTGTATATTTCTTATTGAATTTATCCCTAAGACCTTTATATTTATATTCCTGTTTCGAGTGGGATTTTTAACTGATTATTGCTGACATGGAAAAGGATCATTGATTTTGCTATTTTTAAATATGACCCTCCTGCTGTAATCTTACAGTGTTACAGATTATCAGTTGAGACTTTTTGGTTTGGGTTTTGGTTGATAATAATATCATCTGAGAATAATAATTAGCCCGACTCTAATTCTGCTTATTCTTCTGCTTCATTTGCTCTATTTTTTAAGATAATAAATAATAACAGCAATAACCGTACTTCCTCAGCAGTGTTAATGCAAGCACAACTTGTGTTCCACACAAGCAGATTTTTTGAGCTATTATCAGAAGTCGACCAGGCACAGTGGTGAAGAGGATGGGCTTTCAGACTGCCTGGTCCCGTGTCAGGTCCAAGTCCCATTTCCTTAGCAGCATGTCCTTGGCCAGTTACTTAACATCTCTATGCTGTAGTTTCCTTGTCTATAAAATGAGTGGACAGCCAGGCATGGTGGGGCACACCTGTAATCCCAGCAGCTTGGGAGGCTGAGGCAGGAGGATCGCAAGTTCAAAGCCTGCCTCGGCAACTTAGCAAGATACTAAGCAACTCAGCAAGATCCTGTCTCTAAATAAAATATTTAAAAGGGCTGGGGATGTGGCTCAGTGGTTAAGCACCCCTGGGTTCAGTCCCCAGCACCAAAAAAAAAAAAAAAAAAAAAAAAAAGAGGAAAAGTTGACAGTGATAGTTGTGCTAACTGAATCAGACAGTTATATGTACAGAGCACCCACAGAAATGCTTGGGAAGTCCTAACCCATGTTTACCTTCAAACATATGACTACTGTATAACACTCACTTCACATTATCTTGTTAATGTGGCCTTTTTCCAGTCTCTTGAGGTCATTTTAGACCCTGACTCTGATTTCCCTTTTTATGGTTCTCTTTGGTTCAGCAGAGCCCTGCTGATTCCCTGGGCCTCGGGTAGAACCTTGGGGTGCTGTATTCTTTCTATACAAGGAATCATAGTAGGCACCCTAGTTCCCTGTGGATCTCCTTCTCTCTCTTCTTTATATCCTGTTGAGAAAAGAGCATGAGCTTTATAAATTGAAGAGGCATGGAGTGAAATCACACATCCAGGACTCGTTGTGTGGTCTTGGGCAAGGCCTAAGCTTCTCTTGGCTTCCAGATCCTCTTTGCTAAATGAAATGAGAATATCTCCCTCATGGGTTGTTTCCAAAATTCAAGAGGTACTCCCAGCCTGGCACCTGAACGGCACCCTCTTCTTGTCTTCCTGCTTCTCAACCCAGGGTTCCTTTGTCTAAAATGAGAAGTAGCGAGTGACCTAGAAGGTAGGAGAAAGTCATGCTGTCTGGGATTGCAGGGCTTCACTTGGGGTAGATGTCATTTGAGCTTCCTTCCTGGGTCAGCTCGCAGGAGAGTCAGAGGGGCTACCCTCCCCTCCATCCTTCAGCGGCAACTGAGCCAGCTTGGGAGAAGATGCTGCCGCTGCTGCTGCTGCTGAAAAACCAGTCAGATTTCTCTACCCTGCACCATTAGCAGCTGTGAATTCTCAGCTGAGGAACTCTGTGTGCAACACAGAGATAGAGCTTCCTCCCCTGCAGAGATCAATTCTTTCTCAGCCAGAGCCTGTTCAAAGCCCTTAGACCTTCCAGAAAGGCGCCCACAGCTCTATGCAAAATATTTTTTATTAATATTTGGACAAGACAAAGGAATGCATTACCATGCAGCCACATCTGCAAGCAGCAAAGAGACATTCAAATCGCTCTGAGTCACACCAAGCAAATGCCACAAAAACACAAACAAGAGCCCTCCTGCGGCCTGTCTCAGCTGACAGAATATCAATTATCAGCATCCGTGGGCTCATCCACCAGGCACTGTGTGAGCCTCCACTCTATCCTGCTTGCCAAGCCATCTTCACCAAGGACAAGGAGAGAAGCACCGAGAGTCTGACCAACGGTGACACGTCAGCCACAGATCCCAATATTTGTGACAGCCATCCTCAGAAGGCATTCTTGAGTGACATCTGCAGCCCTCAGACCCCTGCTGAGTATATGGTTTTCTCTACTTGGCTCTTCCTCCTGCCTTCTCCATCTCTCTGAATGACCTTAACCATGCACTCAGGCCAGAGAACTGGTAAGACGTTCAGATCCCTCTCTGCCACCCTTTCTGATCAATCAGTCACCAAGTCCTGTTGATTGGACTTCTTAACTCTTGCCCAAATATGTCTGCTTTTTCCCCAAGATTCCTGAATTATTGCAACAGCCCCCTGCTCTAGTCTCCCTCTCTGATCCATTTTCCACCAGACAGCTAAAGAGATGGTGAGTTTCCATGCCACAACAGACAGCTGGCCCTCTGAATGAATTCTGAATCCTTCACATGTCGGAAAAGGCCTTGGTTGGTCTGCCCCTGCCTACCTCTCCCTGCACCCCATGATGTCCCCACTGCTGCACTCTAGCCAGACTGGACATGGTCTGGTTCTATCCCACTCCTCACCTTCCCCTGCCTCTAATCACCTCCTCTGGTTAACTTCAATTCCCTCTCTGGCTCAGATGGAGAGTCGTATCCTAGGGACACCTTGCTTGGTCCCATCCACATCAGGTTTGCTGCCCTCCTCTGGTCTCCCAGAGAGCCCTGGGCTGACCTCTACAATTTATTTGTGTATTTATTTGCTTGTTTATTTATTTATTCATCCTCAGTCCTCTCCTACCAAGGAAGGTTGTCCTCTCTGACCCAGTGCACAACTTCAGGAAGGACACACAGAGAACAGTGAGGAGAGGACACCTGCCTATACAGCCTGCTCAGCTGAACCCACCCTGGAGATAACTAGGGAGACAGAGGCTCAGCCAGATCCCTTCACATCCTAATAATAGCATTTATTGTATCTCTTTGGTGTTATGATTTGGATGTGAGGTGTCCCACAAAAGCTCACATGCAAGAAGGTTCAGAGAAGAAATGATTGGGTTAGGAGAGCCTTAACCCAATCAGTAATTAATTAACTGATTAAGCCTTAACCCAATTAGTGATCCCTAAAAGGGATCAACTGAGTGGTAATTGAAGTGGTAGGGTGTGGCTGGAGGAGGTGGGAATTGGAGCGTGGCTTTGGGTATATATTTGTATATATCTGCTTCCAGATCATGATGGGAGTGGCTTCCCTCCACCACTTCCCCCTACCATGATGTTCTGCCTCACCTCGAGACCAGAGGAATGGAGCTTGCTGTCTATGGACTGATACTTCTGAAACTGTGAACCCTCAAATAAATTTTTCCTCCTCTATAGTTATGCTGATCTTTTAGTCACAGCAGCACAAAATCTGATTAGAACACAATCTCAGTGTCCCCAGGTAGACTGTGAGCTCCTTGGGGCCCAAGAATTGATCTTATTCATTGTATCTCCAGCATAAGGTTCTGCAATAGTCAATACTTAGCTGACACTTATAGAACATATTAATTCAT